TAGCTTTGTCTAATAATTTCAACGATGAGTCCGCGGGTGGACATTCAGAGTATGTTTTCAGTTGCGAGAGCAGAATAGACAGGGCTGAAACAAGGTCTGGGCTAATGAGAACTCATCTGAAAAACACGTCGTTCTCGCTAATTCGTTTCGTTCAGACTTTTCCCTGGGGACGTTCACCGCTGAATAAATTCCCGACTAAGTGTGGTCGCTCGAAACGGGAATCCTTCGCATGTTAAACCCATCAGCGAGAGGAAGACTCGGAGGAAAAAAGGTTGAGAAGTGTGGCCTCCGGTGGGGAGGGGAGGGGGGCGGGAAGGGTTGTCGCTGAGTGCAAAGCCAATAAATTCGGAGGCAAAGGTTTTACTGCGCGGCCCAAGAGACCGCGTTTAGCCGCGACGAAAGGTTTAACTCCAGGGCTGCCGATTCGTCATCAGTCTTCGGTGAATATGTTTCCAGACCGTCCGCTGGGTTGTCTGCTGACCTGCCGTGCTAAGGAAAAACGCCGTATGAACATTCGAGAGTTGCCATATTGTGTCCAATAATATGTTAATTTTTAAGGAGTGTTATGAATATTTTTCCTTTAATTTTTCCGAAACTGTAGATTGAATTGCGAATGAAATTCTGTGAAAAATCGGGAGGAAAATTTCAGCAAGTTTTCAGCTGCCGTGCTAAGGAAAAACGCCGTATGAACATTCGAGACTTGCCAAATTGTCTCCGATAATGTGTTAATTTTTAAGGAATGAATATTTTTCCTTTAAATTTTCAGAAACTGTAGATTGGATTGCGAATGAAATTCTGTGGAAAATTGGGAGGAAAATTCCAGCAAGTTTTCCAGGAAATTAGCATCTTATTGAAGGCAATTTGGCGACGTCTGAAGGTTCATACGGCGTTTTTCTCTAACACGGCATTGAGAAAGAACGCTGTAAGAACATTTAAATGTTGCCTAATTTCCCGCCCGGCAAATATTTGTTTTGGAGGGAAATTATTCATTTTTTCCTCGAAAATTGCATGTTGACAGTGAAGCGAGACCGCGTACCTTTGTTTGTGACGTTGCAGGTTTCCTGGCATAGTTTATTTCGTAAATGAAAAACCAATCAACGTCAATTCTTGAAAGCTTCTGTGATTTTCCTTCTCTGTGCGAAGAGAACTCTGCAAAAATTTCAAGGAATGATATAGATTTGCTCTCCTTCGGAAAAAAATACAATGGGAGTGGAAATTTTCAAACACCGCAAACAAGATACACAATCTCGAAGTTTTACCGTTGATATGTTTTGGATTGAACTGCGACCGAATTGCACACGGATAACAAATTGGAAAAAAATGCTCAGAATTTTCCCAACAGATTCGTTTTTTATCGAAGGAAATATAGCGATTTCTACCAAATCATACGGCATTTTTTCTTAGCACGGTAGTAGGTATAACCGTGTGGAAACAACCTTAGGTAGTGGAAAGGGAAACACATAATAGGGAAGTTCCGCCGAGTTACCTAACTGCACTAAACCCAGAATTTCGACATACCCTGGTGAAAATTGGCGATAAGAGCTGCGTTTCAAAATACCATAGGAATTCTTATAGCCGGCTAAAGAAGGCTACAGAAAATCATATACCTGGCTGTAGCATGCGGAGAAAATCATACGGCCGGGCTATACGAAGCGATAAAAAATTATGCAGCCGGGCTGTAGTTCCTATCGCCGGGCTTTACATTTTATCGCCTGGCTGTTTCATTTTTGCCATCGATTATAAAAGGCTATAAGAAATTGTGTAGAAATTCGTGTGCTTTGGAAATCATTAAGTTTGATACGGAACCACCTTAATATTTACAAAACACACATTATGTTTTCCTTTAATACATATTTTTTTTCATCAATTAAAATGAGAATAATCCATACAGGATGTGCAAACATTTCAAAATCATGAGTTGAATAATGCTGACTCCGCCAGAGTAAATATTAGAGCCTAACACAAAGCGGAGCGGCGACGCACTGGCGCCTACAAACCTAACAGGGATACTTCACGCAGTGCGCAACGCGTGAAGTATCCCAGTTAGGTTTGTAGGCGCCAATGCGCGTTTCGCGCTGGCTGCCCGCCTGCCGCGCCGCAGCGTGCCACGGCGCATGAAGCAACTATTTCACACTAGAGGTATTGCACAGTAGCATACAAAACTCAAGGCGCTCTAATATATTAGGGATGTTAGGCATCCATCAAAAGTACAAAGCTTTCCTCGCAAAATAAATCAAGATACTACGGCCCAAAAAGAGAGCAGTAGTCCAAAAACTCACCAAGTACTAGCATCCGTAATTAGTAACGTTTGACATACACTTTATCGCCTGGCTGTTGCTTAATCTCCATCGGCTATAAAAAAGGCTATAAGAAATTGTGTAGCCGGCTATAGAAGCTATTGGAAATCGTACAGCCGGCTGCAGGTCTATGGTATTTTGGGACACAGATTCTACTGCCAATTTTTACCAGGGTAGAGTTCCCAAAATTCGACGAATCAAATTTAGGTTAACTAACTGATAAAAAACAGCCAATTTTTGTATTTTTTGTGAAAAAAAAACTTACGAATGATTTAGGAGTATGAGGGTGCAAATACTAACGTAATTTCAGAGAAATAGCAGTAAGGTAACATAACGGCTCGAAAGAGCTGCATTTATTCCTGTCTTGATTAATTGTACCTTTTACTTCCAATTTCGAACCTTAGAATGTTATGTTTTGACTTTGGTGATCGGCGTTTTATTATGACACTCATTTACAGCCCTTTGATACTCCTCATTTAAAAAAAAGCACCATTGATGAAACGGAACTGCGTGCTAATTTCGCCTTCAATTTCCATGCTAGGCCAAGAAACACCTTTCGTGCAGCAACAGTTATCTATTCGAGGATTCGCCCCCGCTATTTTTTTTACAAATGGTGCCTTAGAATAAGGGCTAATTTCGGTGTTGGAGTTGAATCATTGAGTCCATTCAAATTAGACAGGTCGGATTTTGTGGAAACTTGATTTCGACAACTCGGTCGATACTGCTCTCTTCAGTCTCGTCGCAGCGAGGTCTATTTCCCGCAAATACAGCCACAAATACCCCGGAGAGTGTACCCATGCAACAGTTCGAAACCTCCACCAAACCTGCCTTCCGATCAGCTTTTTGGCCGTGTGCAGGCGGCCTGAAGGGATCCCACGAGTTTGCAGAGCGGCAACTCCGTGGGGCTATTTACATTCTCGGTGTTGACCCGCGTCGCCGTGTGTCCCTGCGAACAAACATCGGCCGGTCCCTCAGGGATCGGCAGCCCGGCCCAGCCCGCGTTTTGTTAATGACTGTCGCGATGGATGCCCGCGTCACACTCGATTTTGAAACCGCGTAAGTCGAATTTCTGATGAGCTCCAGTACCCGATCACCCTTACGCGTTTCAGAGTACCGTGAAATTGACTCGGTGGCTTTTCGCTACACCCTGCTGCGCAGAGTAAATTACCCAAATCTCATGTCTAATCGAATGGGCTGCGTGTCGAGCCTCTAATGGTTGGCGGGCGGACAGTGGATCGAGTCAACCGAAGAGGTTGGAAATTACATTTTGGACTAAAACTGCAAATTTTGATGTTGAATTCGTCACATTTTAAATTTTTAGGGGTGTTTTAAGAAGGAAATTTTACGAAAAAACCAATAGAGCCACTCTTAAAATCTTAAAGTTTTGTATACATGGAGATATAGGCTTTTAAAGTTTCCAAATCTTCTCCGACTTCTCCCATCGACTCGGTCCACTGTGCGGCACTGCGGCATCCTAAGAGATGTGTCGATTATCCGAGCTAATGGATGCTCCCATGGTCCATGTAAATTCTTTTGGAGTCGAGTAACGTTCCCTCAACACTTCGGATTCATCAATGAAACATGGTGGTGCCTCATACTGCCGTGCTAAGGAATAACGCCGTATGAGCCTTCGGACGCTGCCATATTTCCTTCCATGAAATACGACGAATTTACTGGGAAAATTGTTAACATTTTTTTTCTAATTTTCAAAATAATTTTTTTCGCAATTTCATCTAAAATATCCGAAAATTCTAAGGGGGAATAGGGTTAACTTTTCCCGAAAATACATGCTTTGAAATTTCGCAACTTTCGAATGTTCATACGGCGTTCTTCCTTAGCACGGGAGCATAGGCGTATACCTAGGTCATTTTGCTAGAGGAGGGGGAAGCCTAGCTTCCCTACCATTGGAGGGGAGGTGGGTATGGAATACTCCTCAGCCCAAGGGGGGTGTGGGAGGCCTCCCCCGAAAATCTTGACAATTTTAACTCTATTTGGACGTATTTTAAGCTACCATGGCGCAGGTTTTCCAGCATTTTAGCCCGTGAAACAATGCTCACAGTCCAGAATTTCCACCCGCAACCACCCGCTTACACTAATTCATCTATGCCTTCTTTGCCCGCATTAATTTCAATATTCAGCACAATAATTATTTTTTTCAAAGCAATGATTCATTTTATAAAAGCAAAACTAGGATAACATACTTAGCCCAAAAAAAAAAAAAAAANAAAAAAAAAAAAAAAAAAAAAAAAAAAAAAAAAAAAAAAAAAAAAAAAAAGTGCGGAATTAAACCACTAGACAAGACTAGATATTTAGGGTTAAAGCACACGCTGTATTTTGATACATCCCCCCCTTCTTAAACTCCTCCGCGTGACAAAAAATATTTGATACATTGTCTTGTACTTTATTGTAAAACTTGGCTTATATACCAATTAGTGGTTCGTATGGAACACCATAATTAGTTGTATATGAACTAATGATTTTCGGTCTGTGAACCATATTGTGGTAGCTTGTACCATAGTATGGTATATAGACCATAACTAAGGTATATGTACTATTATTACATGTTGCCTTCACTACTGTTTGTGGTGTTCCATACGAACCACTAATTGGTTTATAAGCCATAGATTTTTCTCCGTGTGTCAAAAAACTAAACAGGAAATTAAATGTAGAATATTTGTGCGAAAATAGAGTAATAATTCTTACCAATCGAATAACGAAACGATCATCGTCACCTAGGTTCGCTTGGTAGGACGGAGACGCGCACACCGTAACCGCAGACGATATAACCATAATTTTCCGAGGCAATGATATCCGCGCTCATTAATAGGCCCACTCGAGCGCCAGAAAAACTCCTCTTCCATTGATGCAAAATCTACGCCAAAAATGACAAAATATTTAAGGAGTCACTTCAAGGAATCATAAGTATTCTGCCATACTAAGGAAGAATGCCGTATGAGCCTACAGCCGTTGCCAAATTTCCTTCGATAATATACAAATTTATTGGCAAGCTTATGGATATTTTCCATCCAGTTTTATAGTAAATTTTGTTCGCAATTTCACCTAAATTTTTTGAAAATTTAAGGTAAAATATTAAGAACTTTCCCCATAAATAAACATTTTATCGAAGGAAATTCGGCAACTCTCGAATGTTCATACGGCGTTTTTCCGTAGCACGGCGGTATTGCAGACAATCTATATAATAGGAGTCTATCAGGCTAAAAAGAAGGCTGTATGCCTTTGAACGTTATCAAATTTATTTTCATAAAAAAACGATTTTTTACGACACTAATGAAATTTATTTATATTTATATTTTAATTTTTTTTTAAAAAAAATGTAGAGTAGTTTTATATTTAAAAAAATGCACTATGATAGACGATTTCCATACGTCACAATAGCAGTGCACATTATTTGACTTGAGCCATCTCAATGACTTTGGTGCGTGTCAGAGAGATAAAAAAGCAGCGACGGCTAAGTTTTCACTTTTTGGCCTTGCAAATATAATAAGCATTGAAAACTTAAGAGGTGGGGAGTATTAGAGTTGACCAAAAATCGCCAATGTTAACATCATTCAAAACAATGTTCCGCTCCAAGAAAGAAATAAAATATTATGAAAGTTGCGTCCATTTCTGAAACTCGATTCTTGGTGGTGAAATAGATTTTTGAGATGTTCCACGGTCGATTTTGAACCAACATATTCAGAATACATTCATCCATTAATTCCTTTTTTACTGACGACTTTTGTTCATTCTTGGAAAAATTCGCACGCTTTGCCAGCCTATTCCCAAAGAGCATCCTACCCTTCCTTCCACGGAATAGATTATTAGTAATCCCTTCGCATTACTGTCTTTCTAAGATATGGATACTTAGTCACTAATTTGAGCTCAATTTAAGCACTCTGAGCACTTATAGCAGACAGGCTCTTTAATATGACTAAACACTGATAAAAAAAATACGCACATGTGTTTTCAAGTGCGTTCATACCTGCACACCACTCAAACACTCATTTTAACAACAATTGAAAGCTCACCAAATGAATACATTTCGAGGAAGAAAGTGGTGTGCGAAACCTACATAGTATTAAAATCCTTGATGATAAAATCAACAAAAGATTTGATGATTCACTCAGTATACTACACTTTCAGTGGTACTTATTTCGCACATAGCGTTCATGCTTGCAGCTCTTAAAATTTGATGGAGGAGGATGGTCTAAGGTGTAAAAGATTTGTTTTTTATTGGTAAGTTTACAATAATCTACAAGGAATATGTATTCAGTCACGTTTTTTCGTAGGCCACCATCAATCTACAGTCTCTATATCGTTGTTAAAAATTCAGACATTTTCTATTCGAACGGTGGTTAGAGTGCTTTTTTCCATCACGCGAATCGAAGTAAATGAAGAGACTTACCTTACTCAACAGCAGTTTGTCTGGCGAATGTTGTTACTTCACATGCTTGAGTGACTTACTTTTCCATTTTCCTCGCATTGTTACAGACTTCCTATGATCAAAGCGAGCTATTCTCGAGGAGTTGCCAAATTTACGTCCAGGTTTCAAATATCCAATCGCGGCACCGCTCCGCGTGTAGTGCCGTGCTACGGGAGAACGCCGTATGAACCGATAGGCGTTGCCAAATTTCCTTCGGTAAATCACGAATTTTTGGGAAAGTTTATTGATATTTTTCCTCCAATTTTTTAGACACTTTTGTTCTCAGCTTTATCTAAAATATCTAAAAATATCAATGTAAAATATGCACAAGTTTCCTCAAAAATACATGTTTTATCCGGGGAAATCAGGCAACTCTCGAATGTTCATACGGCGTTCTTCCTTAGCACGGCAGTGTAGAGATCTGTTGGGGAAAGTGCGCATCTCTATTTCGACGTGAGCCTAGGAGAGCATAGCTTTATACGGAAAAACTGCCGTGCTAAAGAAGAACGCCGTATGAACGTTCGAGAGTTGCCAAATTTCCCTTTATAAAACATATATTTTTGACGACATTCATGCTAATTTCTCTTTGAAATTTTAAGATATTTTAGATTAAATTGCGCACAAAATTGTCGGAAAATTTTGGAAAAAAATATTCACAATTTTCTCAGTAAATTCAGCTTTTTTCAAGGAAACTTGGCAACGTCTGAAGGCTCCCCTGGTAAAAATTGGCAGTAGAATCTGTGTTCCAAAATACCATAGACCTAAAGCCGGCTTTTAGATTTTCAATAGCTTCTACAGCCGGCTGCACAATTTCTTATAGCCCTTTATAGCCAAAGGCGATTAAGCAACAGCCAGGCGATAAAGTGTATGCTAAATGTCACTAATTACGGATGCTAGGACTTAGTGAGTTTTTGGACTACCGCTCTATTTTTAGGCCGTAGTATCTTGGTTTATTTTGCGCGGAAAGTTCCGTTTGCCTTCAATTTCGTATGATACTGTGCAATACCTCTGGTGTGAAATAGTTGCTTCAACGCCGTGGCACGCTGCGGCGCGGCGGGCGGGCAGCCAGCGCAAAAAGTGCAATAGCGCCTACAAACCTAACAGAGATACTTCACGCGTTGCGCGATGCGTGAAGTATCCCTGTTAGGTTTGTAGGCGCTAATGCGCGCTTGTCGCTGACAGCACACCACGCGCCGCTCCGCTCCGGTGTTAGGCTCCAATATATAATCTCGCGGAGTCAACGTTTTTAAACTCATGATTTTGAAATGTTTGCACATCCTGTAAGGATTATTTTCATTTTAATTGATGAAAAAAATATGTATTAAAGGAAAATGTAATGTGTGTTTTGTAAATATTATGGTGGTACCGTTTCAAACTTAATGATTTCTAAAGCACACGAATTTCTACACAATTTCTTATAGCCTTTTATAGCCGATGGCGATAGAGTGTAAAAGCCCGGCGATAGGAACTATAGCCCGGCTGTATACTTTTTTATCGCTTCGTATAGCCCGGCTATATGATTTGCTCCGCTTTCTACAGGCAGCTGTCTGATTTTCTATTGTCTTCTTTAGCCGGCTATAAGAATTCCTATGATATTTTGAAACGCAGCTCTTATCGCCAATTTTTACCAGGGTCATACGGCGTTCTTCCTTAGCACGGCAGAAAAGGTCTCACATGGACATTTAGATGCACTCTCCTGTCAGAGGAGCAAAAAATGCAGGTATACTTGCCAATTGCTTACTGGCAGATAGTCAATAATTCTAACTTAGATTTCATTTCTTGGATTTTCCCTTACTTTTGTCGTATTAATGACCCAAATATAAAAGCTCTCGGTAGGATATTTGTCCGTATTTCTGCCAAACAAAACTATGTGCACCAAGACATGAACCCTAAGACCCATAAGAATATATGCGTACCAGGGCTCATGTCACAATGCACATAGATCCGTTCGACAGAAATGCGTCCATTTGATAGATCTATAGTTTTTTCAGACTTTTTGGCAATGGATACCTACTTGTTTTGAAATTGGATCATGACTAATAAAACATAGATTATTCGAAAGTTCGAAGATGGAACATGATGTGAAAAACTCTGCATTGTCAAATTTATAGAAAATTGGTATTTTGCTGTATTTTTCTTTTCCAAGTGCTTGAACACTCAGAAATCTTTAAAATCATGCAAAACTTTAAACATTTGCCATTTTTCTTCACATTTGACAAATTCTACCTCGAGTCTGCGACAAATCGAAACGAATCGAAAATTGAAAGCTCAGGCTGCATATTACATTTATTTTTTTATTGGTGGCAAAAACAACGAATAAAGAATGGGAATTGGAGAAAACAAAGCGTTTTATTTTAAAATGTATAAAAAAAATATCTTAAAATATCAATATTCACTGAACGTTTTTTATCAGAAAAAACCAAATTGTGGTGACTCATTATTTAACTGGTTTTCCAAAATGTGAACATATGCATCGTTCGCTATGAAAAAATAAGAATTTAAGTATTCAATCTTCATTTAAAAACGGAAATAAAGTGAGACATCATGAGTTTTCAACTCGATGCAAGGGAGTGACGTTAATGGTTGGCTGACGCCTTGATGCAACAATACCTGCTCAGTGGATATCCGCGTTGCCTGTCTAAATTCATGCAGGCGTTTTGATTTTTTCAGCCCGCGCTTGCCCCGAGCCTCTGAAATTGATAAACAGCAACGAAGGAAGTTTGATAGAAATACGTCCGATAGAGGTATTGCATGTATGAGGAATTTGCGATTTGACTTTTGCTTCTTATTTGTAAAAGTTCCCGAGAAACACGATGGTGCCACTGGTTTTCTTTGAAATCAACCCCCAAGCTCAAAAAAAGCTCTCAAGTTAAGGCCAAAATGGAGGAGATATCCCACGCTATCCTGAGAGTCCACGTCTACATCAAGACAAAATCTTCATGCAAAGATAGGGAGCAAATACATTTTTAGGGTTGCCGTGTTTTCAGTTTTAGAGTCCCCAAATGAAGTGGCAGCTCTGTCAATGTATTTGCTCCCTATCTTCGCATTAAGAGTTTGTCTTGATGTAGAGGTGGACTCTCAGGATAGCGTGGGATATCCCCTCCATTTTGGCCTCAACTTGAGAGCTTTTTTTGAGCTTGAGAGTTAATTATAGAGACGACCAGTGACATCATCGTGTTCCTCGCGAACTTTTACAAAAGAATCAACAGTCAAATCGCAAATTCCTCACACATGCAAAATATCCATAGATGTAGCAGTTGGAGGATTCCATTAACAACCCACCTCTCTTCTCCCGAAGCATGATATTAGAGTCTCTTTTCGAACGATTTGGCAATACCATGGAAATCCGGCGAGCAAGGAAATGCGGCGCAGTGCAGACAAGAGATCAAGGGTGCGGGTTTGCATCTAGGTGCGGCATCTCCAAGGACGAAGATTCAAATAAAAAATGATCTCGCAGAAAAATATGTTGCGGTTTCCTCGCTTCACAACACCATTGTTGGACCCGACCGTCTCGGCCATTCACTCTGGGGGCCACGCTGCCTTGCTAAGGAAAAACGCCGTAGGAACCTTCGTCAGTTGCCAAAATTCCTTTGATAAAATGTGAATTTCCTCGCGTAAACTTATGAGTATTTTCCTCCCAATTTTTTAGATAATTTTGTTCGCAATTTCACCTAAAGTTTCGGAAAATTACAAGGGAAAATATTCACAGCTTTTCTAAAGAATAAACATTTTATCGGAGGAAATTTGGCAACTCTCGAATGTTCATACGGCGTTCTTCCTTAGCACGGCAATTAGGAAGAACGCCGTATGAGCCTTCAGACGTTGCCTAGTTTCCAACGCTAAAAACCGAATTTACTGAGAAAATGGAGATGTTGCATGTGTGAGGAATTTGCGATTTGACTGTTGATTCTTATGTAAAAGTTCGCGAGAAACACGATGGTGCCGCTGGTCTTAACAATTTAATTATTAAATCAGCGATCCACTTTTTCCGTGTTCTGCGCGACTCACTTCGTGGTTTGAATATCTTAAAGAATGTCTAAAAGAAATTTGATAAAAAAACACTTTCCGAATGTTTTTGAAGGGTTGACGCTCTTCAATGCGTCTGCAACTGTTTTATTTTCCTGAAGCCGAATTCAACAAAAATTTGAACAGAGTCACCACAAAAAATGACCCATTCCTCTCAATTTCTTGTTTCGGATTCGTGTAATAATAAATAAAAAAAAAACAAATGAAAAAAATAGATAAAAAAAAAAAAAAAAAAAAAAAAAAAAAAAAAAAAAAAAAAAAAAAAAAACACGAAAGATTAAGTAAATCTTGCAAGCTCAGCAGAACTCATCTCATACAGTGCTCTCATGTGTCGCAATAAAAAATATTTGCGCCAATTCCCCATTGTGCGTTAAGGCGTAGTTTTTTTTAGATATGTCTGATGTGCTCAACGATTTTACCAACAAAAAGTCTTTCGATTGCACTATCTTGCCCGTGTGAAACGGACCCATGTGAGCGCAGAAAATAGCTCCACGCAAACAATTTGCTCCGCTCAATCATGCAGCGACGTCACAACCAACGGTTGAATGAACGCGGGAACCGACAGCGCCTTCAAAACTCAGAGTATGTAAATAAGAGTGCGGGTGGAATGAATTGCGCATAAATTGTGGCTCCTATGATGTAAAAACGTATCTCCATCTTGGGATGAGCTCTATCGTCCATTTAACTCCATGTTTCCCGGGACTCGTGTGAAAATGGGTTACGTCCTTTAGCCGGAGGAGTAACGAAATACATGCATACTGTTGTGCTAAGGAAGAACGCCGTATGAACATTCGAAAGTTATACTAAATTTCCCCGAATAAAACCTTTAATTTTGAGGAAAGTTTCATATTTTTCCTTAAAACTTTCAGATATTTTAGATTGAATTGCGTACAAAATTGTGTGAAAATTTTGGAAACAAATAATCACGATTTTCTCAGTAAATTCGGTTTTTACTAAGGAAATTTGGCAACGTATGAGGGCTCATACGACGTTTTTCCTTAGCATGGCAGCATAAACCTCGGAATCGGGCACTTCGAAGGTCCTCGAATGAAAATTAGACTGCTTTGAAAAATGAGGCGAATCTACTCTCTCCTCTCTTTCTCTCATTCACTTTTTCTCAACCTCATTTATTCTGTGAAATTTTGGGACCTGCGAGGTTCACAGTTTCACCTGATTCCCCACTGTTATTTTTGCTTTAACCTCAGATTCACTGACCTCGGTCTTTTGGACTCCAGATTTTGTACAAAAAAAACATTTTTTTTTTTGATTGGATAAAATTCAGCAATATGGTCATCCTTATACATGGGAAGTCTCGGAAGGAAGAAAGAGAAAAAAAAATATGCATGCGCAAGAGCCCTTCAAGGGTCCTTATTCTTTGTCAGAATAGGAGAACGAAGGAAAAAAAGGGAAAATATAAATTCCTCTCATTCCTCTTCTTATTGTTTTCCTCCTGGATGTTTACATAAGTGTCGACCCTGAATGAATTTGACGAGGGTATGGATTCGATCGACATGAATCGATCGACAAATGAAAACGTGAATCAATCGACACCGATTCGATCGACAAGTTATTAAAAAACCGGTGTCGATTCGATCGACATGAATCGATCGACAAATGAAAACGTTAATCGATCGACATGAATCAATCGACACCGATTCCGTCGACAAAATTCGATTGATTCACGGGTTTGTCGATCGACTTGCGGGCTTGTCAATCGATTCATGGGTTTTTCGATCGAAATAGTATGTAACATTTTGATAAAGATGAGCGCACAGAGGGTCCGGTTTCCTAGTGGGTTGTATCAACGTGGCGACAGTTGCTCCAATCTCATTACAACTGCACGGTAGCCGGTAGCCCTCGGGGAATATGGAATTTGAAGAACTCTAACCAACTAGGACAAGACATCGATGATTCAATTAATGACTTCCATGGCACCGCTACCTCTAAGTGCGGCTGCGGTCGGTTCTCGCTTGCGAGATTTCCTCCAATTTCAAAATTGCTCCGCGTAGGGTGTCGCGTGCCGGGGCGGGTTTACGGGGATCCCGACAACGGCACATCCGTCCGAAAGTTGCTCCTAACTCAGTTAGACGGGGAAATTAGTTCCACCGATAAGTCTCGGTAATCCAGTTTGGAATTATTGCTTCGTCTGCCCTGCGACCTTATTCCGGAGGAATGGATGTCTAATTAGCTGGAGAGTATCACCAATTACGCAAGAGTGGCTCTGTTGTTTAATAGAAATGGATATTAACGAATGAACTTCTGTCTGATGAGGCCGCTAAAAATCACGATGGGGCCGTCAAAAAGTTTGAAATCAACTCGTTGACGCACAATGGGCCTGTTACAACCTTCAGCTAGAGTAAAACAAATTGATTCTTGTAGAAAAGATCTCCAAAATCACTAAAAACACATAGAGGAAGTCTGAAATATATTCCTAACTTCACAATTTGGGTAAGGAATATGCCTTTTTTTAAGCTTTCCGCTTTAAAATCGATGCTACGGCACAGTCCAGAGTCACTGTTTCTAGGCGTTTATTGGCCTCCTGAATGCTTTTCCAAAAGTTTCAAAAAATTTCACGCGAGCAAATTTCATGAAATTTTCCATATCTGTGTTTTATAGACCCAATTTTTTCTCTCTCCGTCATGAATTAGTTTGCCTCTAAAAATTTCTGAAACAGAGAAAATCATTATGACGTCGTTAACACGATATTAATGCCCTGAAAATTTGCCAACTAATGGTTTCAGCTGAAGCGTAGTTTGACAATTTCACTCGACAACGCCGCTGTCGGAGGCAGTAAGATCCGTAAGCAAACAGCCGGCGGCGCAGCGCACGGCGAACTAGGAACATGAGCTCTGTCAGACGCAGGCGGGAAGTTTGTTTTTAAACAGCGGGGGAATTACTCGAATTAGGGGCTAGCCGCGCACATTTTAATTTTCTTGGCTTACCACAGGCAACCAAGTTGCAAGCAACGAAATTAATCAGATAAAAAGCTCACCGTTCTGACAAAACGTCACGTTTCATACTATTTCTCGCCGTTTTTTCCCCCCTTCCGACTCTCATTTTTAACCACCACCCTATTTTCAGTTGTCCCCTTGCTCTGCGTATACCAGGTCGAGGATGGGCTGAGAGACCCGTAAATTGTAGTATTTTTAAGCGCTACTTGTTTGACGTTGTTGACTCGGTGCATAAGAGAAAAAAAAGTTACGGTTTCAAAGTTCCACTCAAATGTCTACGGGAATATCAAGGGTTTTTTTTTTGCAAAAACGGAATTTCCTAGAAAACGATGCATTCCTGATTGGCTTATCTTTATTTATAGACCCCGTAGAATTCTGTGGGTTAAACCGAAAATAAGAGATGTGGCATGAAATTAATGTTGACTGTATATGATTTCGTTCATGTGGTCCATGTTGATGTCTATTTTGTGGATCAAATGGACTAAATTTTGCAATTTGGAACTATAAATTCCGGCCCGGTTTAAAAACAACGTATGTGCCATTAGTTTCTCACGCACATAAGTGTTTTTTCAGATGAGCCAGAATTTATAGCTCCAAATTGCAAAATGCAGTCCAAATGCATCTTGTGTTGGCTATTCTTTCCTCAAATGCATCTCATGTTGGCCATTCTCTCCTCAAATGCCACTATGTGCGCTCGGCGCTTCATGGCTTGTTTAAAATACCTTGGCATCGCCGTATAAGCGAGCCAAGTAACGTTTTCGACTTTAATATAGACATCGGAGCAACACATAGAATATGCAATGAATGAAGTTGGCTCGTTTAGAGCAATATGGCTCAAAGACTCATGTGGGAGGGGGAGAAGGGGTTGAGAAGGATAAGGTGGATGCGGAGCAGGTGAGAATAATTCCGAGGTATAACGCGACACACAAGTGTCAGCTTTTGACAAGCCCTTTGCATCTCGCAGACTAATAACTCATATTTAGGGGTGCTTTGGTGCCACGCTTGTTACTTCCTTTTTTGTTCCTCTCCAAGTTCCATGCTCACAAATAAATCAAAGTTTAAAACTCCAAAAAAAAAAGAAAAAAGTGGGGATGATTTAACATTCTGAATGTAAAAAAAAATTGTGCGAGAACTTATGAAATTCTGAATTACCCGCCACAGCAGTTACTTTAGCAATGCCAAGATATAATACTAACTGCTGTGGAGGGTATTTCAGTATTTTATAAGTTCTCGCACAGTTTTTAAACATCCAGAATGGTAAATCAACTTCGCTTTTTTTCGGTGTCTTTTGGCATTGGCTGGAGTTTTTCCTGCTGAGATTTTTTTAGGGAAGTCTTGGTCTGACTTGTTGCAAATTGATCAATTTTGAGCCCTCTAAGTAAGTAGAACACTTGGCAGGGATACGAACTAAAGCTCTCCGTCACACATTTTCTGTGTCCCCGGATAGTCGTGATTTTTGGCGGTTTCGTATTATTGGAGAATGACATCATGATTGTCATATCGATCAGTAAAATGGGAAATCCCACAGTACCCAAGTGGCATTCCCCAACGGAAAAATCGCTATATATTGCGATTTTATCGGCGATAAAATCGCCAGGATCATCAACATCTGAGCGATTATCCTCGATCTTATCGCGATAAAATTGCGTTTTAATCGCCCGACAATTTATCGCGGTATTTTTGCAATAAAAATCGCGATAAATGGGGATTTAATCTCGAGTTTATCGACGAAAATTGATCACGATTTTATCGAACTAAAAATTGCGATGTGTAGCGATTTAATCGGCATACATCGCGATTTTTAATGCGGTAACATATCGATATATTGCCACCGATAAAATCATTTTTTATCGCGATCACTGCTACTTGGGTACTTACTTGATTTTTTAAATGAAAAAATAAAACACAATGTTTTTCTTTATCCTATGACTTTTTTCTCAGTTGACAGAATATTTTCTGGAATTGTCCAATAGTAATCTGCTCTCATTTTGCAGTGAAAAAATTAAAAGGAGCGAGAATTAGGAGACATTGGGAATTGAAAAAGGTGATCCCTGATACTGACTTCAGTATTGGTTACACCATCAAAATTTTCGTCAGTATTTTATCGCCACCTTGTCGGTATATAAACTGGAAATGATGTCACTTTATTCCATAACCATCAATATTAGAGGGCCGTTAGATGGTAATGGGCTATAGTATAGGCACACACAAAAAAGCCATGCTTTGAAAGTCATACTTACGGGCTATTTAGACGCACCATCCATTCCAGGCTCTGAGACAAAAGTTCCGGGTGTAGCACCCGTGGCTTTGGTCTGATCCTGAAGCAGTGGAAGTCATGGCTCCAGCAACCGGAACACTCGGCCTCTAAGCCTGGAACGGACGGTTTATCTGAATCTTTCGTGATCTTTTTACATACATAAAAGCCGCTTTCACAGCGCTCTTTAGCCCTCTGCGAAACCTAGTAGCCGAGGCCCTTCAGCTGCCCTTCCGGTGTAATTACGTTTTCTCCAAGTGTATACTGTATGATCTTGAAAAATTGATGCAAATATTAACAGTATGTGATCAAAGCCAGTGATGGTAATTGGTGAAGTAACTTCGGTAGGTTCTTAGTATCATCTAAAATAGTCATTTTCCTCTCCAGTACCTCCGCCTGACGAGTGCATTTTGCCTTTTGTTGCAGATTGCGTTCCGCGAGAGAATGGCGCTGAAATGATGGCAACCATGTCATGGCCAACCTGAACCCAGCGGAAACGAACAACAACTGCCCCCAGAACTCAGGAAGCCCGGGTTCGACGCCCGATGTCGCCAAGAAAACCGCCAACGAGTCCGCCAACGACCAAGTGATGCTCATCAACATGGGCGGCGAGAACCACCTGCAGCAGTTCTCGAAACAGGCCGGATGGACGCCCAAACCGGAAGTCGACGCGCCGGAAGTCGGCTCCCCGGAAATCAGCCGCCGCGTCCCCGTCGCCAAAATCACGACACCCGAGACCGGAAACGAAGTCTCGGTAACCAGGGGCCGAGTCTCGCAGATGAAGAGCATCTTCTCCGGGATCGAAGGCAATACTACCGAAACCAAAAATACTGTCTCCGAGTTTAAAAACGCGCTCTCGCGAACCGGAAACGCCACCTCCGTGCCTATCACGCGAATAGACACGAAACCGGGAAGCGAGGTAGCGGAAAAGAGAAGTAAAACGGAAAGTAGAACGGACCCTGCAAGTGAGGGTGACAACGGAAGTAAAAAGGTTTTTGTCAGTGAATCGGAGACAGGAAGTGAACAGGACACTAGAAGTGATACCAAAAGTAAATCGGAAACTGGGAGTGGAGTGGAAATCAGAGATGGAGATAGGACGGAAATTGGAAGTCGAACAGAATTCGAAAGTCGAAAAGAATCCGGAAGTCGAACGGAATCCGGAAGTAGGATGGAATCCGGAAGTAGGATGGAATCCGGAAGTAGGACGGAATCCGGAGGTCGGACGGAATCCGGAAGTAGGACAGACGTGGAGGTTAGAATGCGGATACCGTCGTGGAAGAACGGGGGGCTGGAGTGCCGGAAGAGTGAGAGCGACGACTCGAAGAGGAGCTCGGGGTCCGGGAAGTCGTTGAGCACGAACGAGTTGGTGAGTCTTCTGTCGGAGCGACCGGAGGTGGTGGAGAAGTTCATCCTGGAGGTGGCCGACGCGGACAACATCCAGCGGCTCCTGGCGCAGCGCAACCGCTCCAGCTCGGGGGAGAGCGAGGCGCAAGTGGGGGTCCTCGACGACCTCCCGACGAGGTCCAAACGGACCACCTCGGTCACCTCGGACCTCTTCAACAACTGGCTCGCGTCGTCGCCGATCAAGAGGGCCAAATCTCCCAGCGGGTAAGCACTCTCTACAATGCTTCCGTGCTGAGGAAAAACGCTGTATGAACCTTCAGGCGTTGCCAAATTTCCTTTGATAATACACGAATTTCCTGGTAAACTTATGAATAGTAACAAGGTGGAGAAATGTTGCTGGATCCACACCATTTCGTGGGGAAAGCAAAGCCAAGAAGTTCCAAAAATTCAAATTAGAGTCAAAAATAATTTTTTGAACTCTAATGCGCACCAGTACGAAACTGAGGAGGGAGAGTGTTCAGCTCAGGCAGTTTTGACAGGAGTTTGAAATTATTTTTTACTCTAAATTGAATTTTTGGAACTTCTTGGCTTTGCTTTCCCCACGAAATGGTATGGACCCAGCACCATTTCTCCACCTGGTACATACAGGTTTCGGGCCACTTCCTAGTGTTTTTCTCTTCACTTATGGATAGTTTCCTACCAATTTTTCTGATAATTTCGTTCGCAATTCCACTCGAAGTTCCTGAAAATTTCAAGGAAAAACATTCGTAACGTTCCGCAAAAATTAACATTTTATCGAAGGAAATTCGGCAAATCTCGAATGTTCATACTGCGTTCTTCCTCGGCACGGCAGAATGAAGCTCTTGCATGCAGCTCAGATTTTCGATTAGACGCTGAAGCGACTTTTGTTTAGAGGTTCTCAGGAGGTTCACGTTTACCTTTGGCACAGCAGTATGTATTATGTGAGAAGTAATACATTTTCGTCTTATGCTTTTCGTCTCTGTATCCATACAGAGTTATTAACTAATTACTTACAGAGGTTGCTCCTTTCTTAAGCGTCAATTATATCACCGTTACAGGCGTTACGACCTAAACTCGAAAGCCCCTTACGAGATCATAAAAATTTCTCAAAGCTTACGCCAAAGTGTCGGAACTGTCGGAGCATTAAGCGATTATATTCGTAGGAGGGTCCACCTCCGCATTCAGTAAAATCCTTCATGCAGAGACAGCAGTGAGTACATTAACAGGGTTGTCACGTCTTGTGGGCCTCGATAGTCACCTTCTTGACGTTTGAGGTCTCCATAGAAAACGGCAACATTGTTCATATTTTGCGCATGTTTGGAGACAAGACGCAAATCCCACACATAAAAATTGCCAAGGACTTAGTTAGTTTTTGGACCAGGTACCGCTCTCTTCTTGTGCCGTAGTATCTTGATTTATTTTGCGAGGAAAGCTCCGTACTTTTGAAGGATACCTGTCATTCTTAATATGTTGGAGCGCCTTCAATTTCTTATGATACTGTGCAATACCTCTGGTGTGAAATAGTTGCTTCAGACGCCGTGGCGCGCTGCGGCGCAGCAGGCGGGCAGAGAGCGCGAAACGCGCATTGGCGCCTACAAACCTAACAGGGATACTTCACGCATTGCGCAATGCGTGAAGTATCCCTGTTAGGTTTGTAGGCGTCAATGCGCGTTTGCCCAATGCGTGAAGTATCCCTGTTAGGTTTGTAGGCGCCAATGCGACGCCGCTCCGTTTGTGTTAGGCTCTAATATTTCATCTCAAGGAATCAGCGTTTTTCAACTCATGATTTTGAAATGTTTGCACACTCTGTATGGATTATTCTCATTTTAATTGATGAAAAAAAAATACGTTTTAAAGGAAAATGTAATGTGTGTTTTGTAAATGTTAAGGTAGTTCCGTATCAAACTTAATGCGCACGACAACCAACCAACTTAACCAAAGCACACGAATTTCTACACAATTTCCTATAACCTTTTATAGCCGATGGCGATAAAGTGTAAAGCCCGGCGATAGGAACTATAGCCCGACTGTATACTTTTTTATAGCTTCGTATGGCCCGGTTACATGATTTTCAATAGCCTTCTTTAGTCGGCTATAAGAATTCGTATGGTATTTTGAAACGCAGCTCCTATCGCCAATTTTTACCAGGGGAGGCCAGTGGAGGGTCTCTTGTTTCTGCTCATGAACCCCTTGCAAAAGGAAGTGCGAATGAAAATCTGCAATCACGGTTAATGAGATACATGTTTTTAGAATTTCGCTTCTGTCAGGAAAGGTAGTAATAGTAATTGAGAATCATTTGAAAGGGATGGCGGGCGAGGGTGAGATTCTGGTGAATTTTTCCCATTTGTTCGGGGCACAATTTAATCAAAAAGTGCAAGGAGACCCTGCTGTCCACTTCCGCAAATTGTGCCCCGCAAAACTCTGGAGATGGCGGGATTGAAGCGAACGTAATAAGGTAGCATACTCGAGGGATTCGCAGGAACGTCAAAAAGTCAAGTCACGCGAGGGCGGATTTCGCAACAGAGGATTCTGCCGAGAGCCAAACTTCGTTAACCTTAGTCTGACAGCTCTGACGAATTCCAGTCTTTTAAACTTGAGTCTTTGACTGTCATTTATTTGAGGGTAAGACAAAGGAGAAGGTGAAGAAGAAGAAAAGAAAAAAGCGAAAAGAGGAGGAAGGAAAAAAAATGTGTCGTAAAAAACTCGTCTATGGCTCCGTTCGGTAGTTCATTTCACACTTGAAACGTTGGGACCTGATATACGAGTAAAAGGGAGGAAAAGAAGAGGAAGAAAAGAGACGAGGAGGGAGAAAATGAAAAATATTTTAGGAAAGAGGTGATAAAAGAGGATGGAGAAGAAGACGTTAGTATAGAAAGAAAAAGAGGACCAAGAAGAAGTAGAGAAAAGGAAGAGGAAGAGAAAAAAAATCAAATCAAAGGTAAAAAATCAAATTGATTCAAATATAAATCGAAAGACTGGGACCTATAGGAAGAAGGTGATGAGGAAGAGGAGAAGAAAGAGGAAGTAAGAGGAGAAAGTACCCAACATCGGTGCAAGAAAATTGGTGCATTGGATGGGTGCATTGCACTAGGACTAGGACCGATAGAAAATGGGGGAGGAGGAAAAGGAGAAGAAAGAGGAAGTTAGAAGAGAAAGTACCTAACATTGGTGCAAGAAAATTAATGCATTAGTGGCTTAGAAGTAAAAAAAGGACCAAGAAAAGGTAGAAAAGGAAGAGGAAGAGAAAGTAAGTAAAAAAATAAAATTGATTCAAATATAAATCGAAGGGCTAGGACTTACAGAAAGTAGGTGAGGAGGAAGAGGAGAAGAAAGAGGAGGTTAGAAGAGAAAGCACCCAACATTGGTGCAATCTAGCAACGGTGATTTCAGAAGACCAACCTCCGCGCAAAGCCCGAATTCCGCGGCGTTCTTCGAATTACAATGATATTCAAATTTTCAGGGTTGATGTCGGAGGAAAATAAATATTTACAACCCCGCCCCCTCAGCATTAACGAGACCACCGTTGCCAAATGGCGAAAAACCGCAGCTCCCCCACTTGTGCACGACGCGACATAAGCGGTTTTAAAAGGAGGAGCCGGCATGCGCTTCGGGGGGCGAATTAAACGGGATTACTTTCTGGGAAAAGTTGAATTGAACGGCTTATATTCAGCTCGGCGTAAGTTTCATGGGATTTCTATGGAGGTTATGTCATTTTTCAAATAAACTCCTCAATTAATCCTCTGAACGTACTTTACTTCATGCTACTCCCTTCCTAAAACCATCCGACCAAAAGACGGAAACCGCTCTGGCCTCCGTCGCGTTCAATTTTCAAAAAACCACCCGAATCCCCTCTAAGCCCCCCGGGTGTGGAAAATTAGGTGTTTACGTGGATTAGTCTATAAATTAGGTCTGAGCCTTTATGAACATTGAGTCAAGAGTCATGAATTTTTTTACGTCCTCTGGTCATTCGTTTAACGCGAGGAAACTAATTTCTATCTTCCTGACTCATCTTAAATTGGGAATTTTTAGGTGATTTTTCATGCTCTTCTTATCCTGGATCTTTCCAGTTTGCTTCCTCTTTCTTGTCCGTGTTATTTATCCTCTTCTCCCTTTTTTTCCTCCTATATGCTTCTTCATCTCACCTGTTTCCGCTTTAGGAGTTCCATCGTCGATACATTTTTTTTGACGAGTAGCTGAAAAAAATGGAACCAATCGCTGCGATTCATCACAAGTCGTTCTCACACAAAATATGGTGTGAATCGAATCACCTTAAAGCGGTTCGTTTATGGACCCGTTATTATGGCCCCGGATTTACGGGTCCGTTTATAGACGGCCCTTTTCCGATGATCTGATGAGAAACACGTAACGCTTACGAAGCGCTAGGAAGGGGGGAGGGGTTAGAGTCCCTTTTTACTGAGAGTAAAGACAATGCGAATCCATTTCTGATTGGTTCCCGTATTTTAGGCTTTCGCAGTGTCACAAACGGAAGTAAAGATTACATTTTCGCTAATCGCAAAGATTATAAACTGGAATGGACCGGGGAGCTGGGGGTGGGACGAGGGACAAAAGGTATGAGAGAGGGAACGGAGACAGGAACTTGGAGATGAGTTGATCAAAGATTACAAAAAACGTCCAATTTGTGTAATCTTTATTCCCGTTTGTCACATCCACGAGCCGCGTTGTCTCAACTCTAGTCAGGGGGTGTGCTCCTTGGATATACAGTAGACTCTGGATTATCCGGATCGATTTTGCAATTATGTAACTACGTACGCATTCCGATAAGTGAGCGGATCCGCGGAGAAGCGGTCGCAAGGCATATTGGCGCCTGCAAGGCTGAAGGAATACTTCACGCATTGCGCCCTACAGTGAGGTCGGCGTGGAACGCATTAGCGCCTACTAGATTGCATAAATACTTCTCGCATCACGCCAAACGTAGTGCAGTCGGTTAGTTAGCCTAAAACGCACATCAGCGGCTACAAGACTCCATGAGTACTTCACGCATTGTGCGCTTTAATCGTTGTATTGTAATTTATCGTTGTCGGCTACCATTCACAATCACCATCGAGTCGTTCAGTTTGGCGTTAACCTTTTAAATTCGTGTTGGTATGTACATGATGCGTATACATAGTAAGAATACTGCGGTATTGGTTGGTTGTGTTTGTGTTTACTATTATTATCCGGATTTCTTTTTCATCCGGATCGGGCCCGGCACCAATTAATCCGGATAATGTAGAGTCTACTGTAGATGAATCACATATTACAGAAAGGGCACTATTTCAGAAATGTTAATTGTTCAGAAAATGCAAAAAACCGATTTGATTAAACTATAAGCTTTTGGAAAAATAATTTCGTGGTTTTCTTTTGTCCTTCAAGTAGACTAACAATTTCCATAAAACATTTTTACATGATACTCTTTCTGGGTTGTAAATAATGACATTTGATGAAAGAGCAATAGTGCCCTTTCTGTAATACATGGGGGAAGGAGCCGTAAAGAGTGACAGAATGAAGCCAGAAAATTATTTTAGCCCTTGTTTTTCATCTGAAATGTATGGCAATGATGCATGTCTATAGCGAAAGTTGGAATTTGTATCTCCATTGCAACGTTTCAAAATGTCTGCTCTCTTTTTATTTTATTTTTTTAAAGAGAACTAATGGAGATTTTCCCATGAAATTTTCAGAAAACAATCTTGATGGTGTGAAGAAAATTTACACACAATTTCAATAGAGAAAACTTAGGAACAAAAAAAAAGAAGAAAAAAAAACTTAACCCCTGTCAAAAACACATAAAAAATGCGAATATAGTGCCCTGTCTGCACTACAGGATGTGTCTACATACACTAATGCGAAAACCGCGAAAAACTCAATTTCGAAAAAAATGTCGATTGTGCCCTTTCTGTAATAGCTGATTCAGATAGGAAAGTGATGGTTGGTTGGGTTGGTTGTTGCAGGTCGCGCTCCAGCGGGGACTGGCGGCGTCACCTGGGCTCGCTGGACGAGGGGGAGCTCTTCATGGAGCTCATCAAGGACGTCTCGAACGAGCTGGACCTGGACGTGCTCTGCCACAAGATCCTGGTCAACGTGAGCCTCCTCACCCACGCCGACCGCGGGAGCCTCTTCCTCGCCCGCGGCCTCCCCGACAACCGATACCTCATCGCCAAACTCTTCGACGTCACCGTCAACACCAGTGAGTCGCCCCACAAACCTCAAACCCTTATTTTAGACAGTCCATCTGAAAACTAGAGTCCCTTTATACCCAGAGTTAAGACAACTCGATTATCAGCTGACTGGCAGCCGGCCTTGGCTGGCCATGGAGGCCGAAACGAGTGCACCCAAACGAACGATATTGAGGGATAAGGATCAGGAATCTCCTGCGATGTCTGTCACACAAAAACAACAACATCAACAAATTGATCAATTAAAAAGAAAATGAGATTGGTTTGTGAATAATTTCTTAATCTATTTTCATTTTGGACCGATGGCAATAACAATTTACTCTTGATAAAGCACAATTAGGTAATATTTCCATTATTCTTGTTCACATTCTAGGTACCGCCATCTTAGTGCACTTGTTTCGGCCTCCATGAGCGAGAACCAATCAGAATTGGATTTTTTTTTTAGGCCACTTTCAGTCCAACCCTGGCCCAACCAAAAGTGAGTTGTCTTAACTCTGGGTATAAAGGGACTCTACTAAAAACTAGAGTACCTGTACAGCGAGAGTATGGACAGATCGCTTCATGGAGGTCTTAGGGCCCAAAAGTGCAGCCATCCTTCTTACAAACTTCTGACACACAAAATACACTGCCAGTCTTCAGAGTTTGCAGATTCCAATTCTAACCAAGATGGCCAAGAATGTACAGAAATGAGCGTTCTTCCGCAAAAATGAGTAAATTTATGCAAAAACTGAGTCAAATACGTGCTTTATAAACGACGGTTCTTAACAATAGTATTAGTAAATCGTTCTGGGTAATTGAAATTCATAGGTTGGCTGCATTTCTGGGCCCTAACTTTATTCGCAGAAGCATCGGTGAAGGTCTGATGGATTTTCGGAGTTTCACATCTGTCCATACTCTCGCTATGCATGTGCTCTACTGAAAACGGATCGTAATTGGTCAGTTGCGCTGATTACGTAGCGTGGTGTCACCGACCATGGTGTCAACATTAAATTTTTTTTGTCAGTTTGTCTATTTAGTTTATTCTGTTCAGTCTGAGAGGTTACATAAAACTCTTGGTTTTAATTTTAAAGCCTTCATCTCCCTTCATGCCAACAGGGTCTCTGGTAAAACTGGCAGACGAAAAGGAATTACTTTCACAGCACTTTTTCAGGACCTTTCCAAAAAATTCAGTACCTCATAAGCAGAAAAAAATCAACACTTTTTCGGGACCTTCAAGTTGATTGTTGATTTGAGTTCATTTTATTTAGTTATATTTTCTAACGTTATTTATGTATAATTCTTCAATATGAATAAATTATCCATTTGCTAAATACAATCGCAGCTTGAGGACACTTCAAATATGCGATCAAAACTGAAGTAGCGGCTACACGGCCAGCGTGAAGGCTACTTCAACGTTAATCTTCCATCGCATTGCTAAGGCGCAACGATACAACTATACGTACTCTTCGGAATGCGTGAGGTATCACGCCGCAATTGAAGGCGTTTTCGGAACTGCCAACTCTCCATAAAGGGATTCTCGTGTCGTATGAAATTCCGCGGAGCTTGAGATAAATGGAACGACTGATCTGAAGAGCTATTAGAACAGTTAATGCGCACATCTCTTTATTTTAATTGTTTGCTTATAGCTTGCGTTCCATTTAATAATGAGTGCGTGTAATTTGCTCGGATGTTTTCGTTCTATCTAAGCTATTTCTTGTATTTTATTGTTGATTTAAGTTCCTTTTATTTAGTTATTTATCTTACTGCTTGTTTATATTTGTAATTCTTCCATAGAAATTATCCATTTGCAAAATACAATCCTAGCTTGAGCACACTTCAACTATGCGGTCAAAACTGCAATAGCGGCGAAGGAAAACTGTCAAGGCCTGTGTGAAGCAGTGAATTTTGTGGGAAGGTACTGAATGCGTACTGTAAAAATACTTCATATTTGCCAGCCAGTTTTCATATACACCCTATTTATGCGACACAAAAATCCCGGTATGAAAAGTTGGAAGTTTCGAAAACGCCTTCAATTGCGGCGTAATACCTCACGCATTCCGAAGAGTACGTATAGTTGTATCGTTGCGCCTTAGCAATGCGATGGAAGATCAACGTTGAGGTAGCCTTCACGCTGGCCGTGTAGGTTTCTCTTTGCCGCTACTTCAGTTTTGATCGCATAGTTGAAGTGTGCTCAAGCTGGGATTGTATTTAGCAAATTGATAATTTATATAGAGGAATTAAACATTAATAAGGATAAAAAATTTAACTAAATAAAAGGAACTCAAATCAACTATCAACTCAAAAGTACCGAAAAAATGTTGAGTTTTTCTGCTTATGAGGTACTGGATTTTTTGGGAAAGTACTGAAAAAGTGCTGTAAAAGGTACATAACTAGAGTATGTGTATAGAAATTAAAAATAAAACTCTATCAGGTGAGTCACTGACTCAAATTTATGCATTAATCGGTATATATATAATGCCCATATCGACGGTGAAACTACCAAACCACGTATCTCGGTTTGCGACGTCGCAGACTTCCTGTCATACTTTATTTTTTAAATGAAAAACTACTTAACGTCTAGTCTTGAAAATTTATGTGATTTTTCCTCTTTGTGCGGAGAAAATTCTGTGAAAATTTCAAGGAATGATATTGATTTGGTCGACTTCAAAAACTAAAATGCGAGCGTAGATTTTTAAACACCGCAAACGAGACACGTGGTTTGGTAGTTTCACCGTCGATATACAATTCTTACACTATCTAATGTCGCTGCCTCGCAGCATCTAGGAGGCACCAAATGTACCTAAAAAGTAAAAGTCCCCTAAAAAGTGTATTTGTCTAGTAAGGACAAACGAGCGTAATAGAGTCTGGCTCATGGACCATTCCTCCGTCTGCCCGTGGATCTCAAGAAATAATATCAGACGATCGAAGACCAGACGGTGGCGCGTGACGCTTCCTCGCAGTTTTCCCGTCTTTTTTCTTGCCCTTTACCGCGTAAAACTGTTATTACTCATCATAAATAAGCGGAAAGCGATTTCCAATCCCAGCTGTTCTTTCTCCGCAGATTTCCCACCGGCCGTGCCGGATTTTCCAGACTGTCCAAGTGCTTTCTTCGGCACAATCGGAGACAAAACAATTTGTAACTTGCTACAGACTTCAATTTTTGTTTCCGAAAAAATAAGTAAATCTATGCAAAAACTAAGTCAAATAAATGCTTTACAAACGACGGGTCGTAACAATTGGACGTATTCCTGACAAACGGAACTATGTGCAATATGACGTGAGCCCTATTATGCATATATTTGTATGGGTCTCAGGGCTCATGTCTTAATGAGCATTGTTCCGTTTGGCAGAAATACGTCCAACTGTAACTATAAATAACTTTTGCTAACTTAAATCCATAGGTTGGCTGCCATTTTGGGCCATAAAAGCTCCATGGCCTAACCTCAATTACCGACATCTGTACTCTCCGTACATAGATACTTTAGAATTTAAAAACACTCACAGACCTAGACAAAAATGGATGGTCGAGAATGAAAAATTGACAATTTAGGATTGCAAACCCATTTTGTTATAAAAGCTCCTTGTAAGATCCTCGAAAATAAGCTTTTCATTCGCATTAACAAAATGAGTCATTCATTTTGGACGCAGCGCCTTCAATCGAGCCCAAAATATTTGAGCGGCAACCATTCGAGAAATGTCATCGCGAGGTTGCATACCTGAGTCATTGAAGGCTATTCTTGCACGTTCGTCACAAACGAGCACGATCTGTACGTATAAAAAGAAAATTAGATGGCAACTCGAAATTTTGAAAATTTAATGGATCCTACATGATTGAGCAGCAACTATTCAGACTTCACCCTCGTGATTTTGCAGAATCCTCTCATTCGCAATAACAAAATGAGTCATCCATTAAGGATGTGTCGTCTTCAATCAAACTCCAAATGTTTTAGCGGCAACCATTCGTGCAAAGTCATTGCGAGGTTGCATACCTGAGTCATTGAAGGCTATTTTCGCAAGTTCGTCAGAAACGAGCACCTGAAGGGCACCTATACTGCCGTGCTGAGGAAGAACGCCGTACGAACCATCAGGCGTTGCCAAATTGCCCTCGGCAAATCACGAACTCGGGAAAATTTGTAAACATTTTTTTTTAAATTTTTCATGTAATTTTGTTCGCAATTTCTGAAAATTTCAAGGTGAGATATACATTGCTTTCCTCAAAAATAAACATTTTATTGAAGGATATTAGGCAACTCTCGAATGTTCATACGGCGTTTTTCCTTAGCATGGCAGTATAGATGCTCTATTTCTAACGTAAAATAGATCCATTTTGCAAGCCTTTCACAGTGGCGGGGCGTGAATGATCGATTCTCGATGTTTGCCCATTTGAAGCTGCGGCAAATAATCGGTTTATAAGGTGTTCGCTGCGAACATCCCGTTTATCGATCCTTTTCCGTAGGTTTAAATGGGATATCAATCGATATATCGCAATGTACACCGGCCTTTGAAGAACCTGGAGGCGAGCTAAACCCGCCCAAGTAGCATGGATTGCAATTTCATTGCAATGGATTGTGAGTTGATTGCAATTTTTGCTTGTTGCCTATACGTTCATTTGAAGGCGCTTAAAAAGTTGCAATTTTATTGCAATAAGTTTGCAAGAAATGTAGATTATGCTTGTTGCCTAACCTTCTTTTTCAAGGCACTATAAAGACTGCAATTTCGGTGCAATCATGTTGTAACAAATTCACGCCATGTGCCTGGCATCCAATTCTCTAGTTGTTTTAAAGTTTTTTCGACTTAAATGTCTCACCTAACCCATATAGCCCAATATATTTTGAAAATATTGTCACTTTTATCAAAATATTTTCATGGCATTATTGTAATTAAGATATTTTCAAAATATTTTTAAAACATTTTAACGGAATATTTTGAAAATGTTTACAAAAAATATTTTTAAAATAATTCAAAAATATTGCCTGTAAACATGCATGTTAAAAATATTCCTTAAGAAAGTTTTGAAAATATTTTAAAAATA